CCTTAATTGGATAAAAGGGCATTAAGTCATATTTCTCTGATTAAAATGATCACTTACTTATAAACACAAACCTTTGAATAAAGCGGCTCATATCTTGTGAAATAATAGCGTTAGCTTCCTTTAGAAAAGCAGTAGGTTGCTTTTATTTCTGCCCCGTATATGACAGCAAGATGTAAAAAACTGCTATCCATATTTTCTTTTTTAAAAATAGTTTAAAATCCTAAAATATTCACATAACCTCTACAATAGTAAAGACAAACATGAGCCAATGACTTTTTGCACTGCAGAGGCGATACATAACTGGATGCTGCGGACTCTTGTTGCAGATGCAAATACAGCTCTCAGGTTTAATAAGAATCATTCTGGACACAGAAGATCCTCAAAACTCCAAAATGTCACACACTGCAGTATCATTACTCACAGTAAATGGGCTTATTCCTCCACCTTCTACTCTTGTCCCTTTTGTTGCTATTCTCCTGGGTCTGGTGCACAGTGATGCTCTAAGTTGATAAGTGATTATTCAAGCTAGCATGTATGAATCCCATTTCCAAAAATGGTAAAAATGCTTGACTGAAAATAAAATCAGATTAGAATTTATGGCAAATCATGTACTTTACAGAAAATGAATGAATACATTTAGTGCTGACGTTCATGCTTAATCTGAATCTGATATCATCGAAAGTGAAATATGTTGTCAGTGAATGGTATTTGATACTGGATGTCTATTAAAAAAAAAAACGATACACTACAAAGAAAGTAGCACATAAAAGTAACATTGAGGCAAAGTGGGGAACTCCCTCTGCGTTCCTTGCAGAAACACAGTTTAACTTTTGATCGGTGCCCTACTTCTCTGCTTGTTGTTGCTTAATGACATCAACGTTCCACGGCCTGGTGGTGCTGTCTGGGCCACAAGTGCTTGTAATGGTAAGGGAAGGGATGGTTAGAGGTTGCTAATTCATAGAATTTTACATTCACACCTTGCAGCTTCCACTGTGTCCCACGAGAGCTGCCTGACAAAAAACAATTACCTAATCAGAATTTAAAATGACAATCACAACTATGTGACACTGCAATGTTTTTATCTTATACATTATGATAAGATGTATTTTAATTTTATGAGTTTTATTATTTAAATACATAGCATTATAAAGTACGCACTAGATTTGGAAAAAGCTATGCCATCATAAATCTTTCATTACAATGGAAAAACATGAAAAATGGGGGAGGAAAATACAGCAACTTGTATATTCTCATTATTTTTTATACAGTATTATGTTGCTTTTTAAATTAAACTACTAGAATCTACTTGTAGTTACATTTTATCCAGCTGTTTTAGAGTACAGAGTTGTGTCAAACCCCCCTTCTCTTTATTTTTGGCACATTTTAAGTCAAATACACCACATATCCAGAAATGAACACATCTTTTCCTGATTTGGTTGAGTCAAGTTAACATCAAGAAGACCTCCATTTAACACAAGACCCAGGAAAGACAGAAAACAGACACCAGCACCGCTTTCCAATCTCCAGTACCCCTTTTCTCAAACCCACTCGTGCCCCCAATTACCCTACGAGCACCACATGTGCAACATCATTAATAAGATCCAATAATAATGGTGGTGAGCTCCATTGGCCATGAGTGAGATTTGACTAATTACTGTAATTGTATTGGAGTCATGCTGATTAAATATGAAAATTGTGTTCTGTGAAATGAATGGGGCTTCATGATCACTCTTGTATGGACAGGCGAGACATAAATTAGAGAACAATTTCTCGTTGTGCAATTAACCACAGTAGAGACAGCTACCTGCCACACCCGCTGGTCTGCTGATACAATGTAGCAGTGTGTGTGTGGGTGTGTGTGTTCATACAGTGTTCATAAGAGTATTTTGAGATGCTTTCTTTACACATAGTATGTGCATGACCTAGTTGCCCATGAAATGTGGACATTTTAATATTTTAAAGAGCATATAATTACAATTGTAATGATTTTTTTACTGTTTTAATTTTTTGTCTGTATTTGATTTACTAATTTTTTTATTTATAACTAATATCACATTTATTATATTGCTCTGCCTTGGCTGCTCAATGTGAAATGACAAGCGTGAGGCACCATATAAAAAAAAGGAATTTACGGGCAAAATTCTATTTTTGCGCAACATGTTCTCCACATAAGCAATTAGTGAAAAAACTCCCAGTCCAAATGTTACAGTCTCCGCCTTTCACTCTGATGGATGAATCAATGACGGTCGCTAGTAACTTTTGTTCATACTTCTTTTCACCATCTCTTGGGATTTTAAAGGCTGACAGGACACCAGAGCCACGACAACAGCATCTGGGAGTGGCCAAGTCCCCAAGGACTGTTCCATGACTTGTTTCTGCATGCTCAAGTTGTTTAAGAAATCTCTTAATGCAAATGGTGTGCTTAGACTGCCCGCCTGGTAACTAAACTGTGTCACAGTCAGAAGCATCTGTGAAAGCCCTGATTTTGTCTGAGGAGATATAAAAGCGGGGAGAGGCAGGTAAACAAAGCATAATGTGGAGGTCAAATGCTAATGAGTGCTCCATTTTCTATGTCTGGCTCCCTCCAAAGGCAGAGTAACAATGCCAGAGGCACCAAAATGCAATAAATCATTCAAATAAATAATATATTTCACAATTCAGAGAAGACTTTGTAGCTTTCATTGCACCTCTTGGAAAGGATTCACGGAGGAGTCCTCATTTCTCTCAAGTGGCCTTATTTAAATTGTCCCATCTTAAACCGCATACTTAAGACAGTAACATGCTTGCATGTCCATTTTCGGGCAAACACACAGCTATATAATTTCCATCTGCTCACTGTTTAATAGGCAGAGACCAGTGAGAACCGCATTATGAACTGTAACTTGTTCAGAATAAGACACAGCCTGCAAGACCATAACAGATGCACTGCCATGTGGGGTTTGCATCTGTTGCAAAGCCTTAAAAACCAACAGCTGTCCCTTCTCTGTCTGAGACCCCAGTAAACAGAAGGCTGGGAGATGGACATGACTGATGAGGTGATGAAAAAGCCCAAGAAGCAGGTGGAATATCACAGGTAGAATGCACTTCGCCGTGATTGTGTGTCAGCCGGTCCTCAGTTGCTGTTGCTGCCCATAGATGGCGCTCAGCTCTTTTTGATGAACACCAGCCTCCCTTGGAGCTGTCTATCACTAAAGTGCCACAGACTGCCTGGTTGTGGGGATGTGCTGCGGAGAGAGGCACGCTTACCTGTCCTTGAGTCAGGCGAGAGCGGGAAAAAAAAGAGTAGATTCAGCATGTATGTAGGCTGTAGACAGGAGTCATAAATCATGACCTTCTTCAATTTACACAGGGAACATATTGATGGTTTCCTATCTCCTTCATTCACTTTCACATAGTTACATTGTCTAAGACAACACCACTCTGGGTAACTGTGACTGACACTTTACAGCCTATTCTCAGTAGTCTCACCTCAGCTTATGAATAATCTTCATGCAAGGCAATGGACAGCAGGGAACCCGGCGGTGACCACAGAGCAAGGTTACATCCAGAGCACAATCATAGATGTTCTGAAAGGAAAGTAAGCAACAAGACGGCTTGATGAACAGGCGACAGTATGACAGTGTCAGTCCCCTTTTTCATAAGTACATTCAGAACCGAGAACAGTGACAAAACTGTGGGAACTCAGAGGACTGCGAACTGTGTCCTAATTCCCGTCTGTAGAGCTCAAGTTAGGGAAATAAAAATAACCGTCCAGTCTGCCGGTTGATGCCCACAGGTTTACAAGACTGCATGCATGATTGTTGTGTTGCTTTTCTTTCCTCCTTTTGCAGTTTCTCAGTACAGTACTTAAAAAAAACAACGCACTTACACAACCACACCACTAAAAAGAATGAGCCCCGTATAAAACACTGTTAGGCTGCTATAGAGTGCAGAACAAGCTACAAGTTATTACACACTTGTTTGTTGTGGCAATAATATGAAGTGCCGAGTGTAGCCGCGCCAAGATGATAAATAAAAAATGAAAATGTGACAAGCCCATTTATTTGTTTAATTCAATCTTCTGTTGAGAGATCTTTTTTTTTTTTTTTCTTGCAGGACATCGTGTTTGATTTTGTTTAGGGGAATGCTTTGTGGCAGGCTGATTAAACACAGACTTACTCCCCCAGCCCCCATATTGGCTGAAGTTGAAAGCCCAGTAAATGAAATGACTTCCACAGGATTGCACCACAAAGGAAGGGAGTGTGTGTCAGATGTGCATTCAGCCAGCGTCGTAGCCAACGCAAGGTCAATTGGGACATTGGGTAGACAGTCACCCGACTGACGGTCTGGGGCAGGAGGATGCCGTTACACCCCGAGGCATCGTCTTGCTAAATGTACAATCACACATATACGTACTTTCATATCCGTGCACTCCCTTGGTCACCTATTTATTATATAGCTCTAATAAAAACAAAGGTTTAGCTTTACTAATTACGAATAACTGTAATTATATTAATTGAGTGAAAAATAAGTCTGATTTCACAGTTTTACAAGAACCACATAAAAACAATTTAACTCAACTTCCTGAATTTATATTTCTTTTCATCAGGAAAACCAAGAAAGCAATGTTACAAATATTAGATTTCATGGTGTCATGAATTATGACGTCATAGCTTTAGTTGAATGAATGATTAAACAAAGGATTGCATTAATAGTGGCAATCATATCAGGCACAAATACATTGAGAAGTTTTAGCAAGTTTGTAAGAAATATTTGAAACCGTCACCTCTCACTTTTTCTTGCTCTGCCTAAACCCCCCCCAAAAAAATTAAAAAAGCAAAACACACAAAACAAATTACCATCCAAGGGCATCAGATTATAAACAATCTTTTAAATGAATGTAGATGTGAAATAGCAGTTTGCTGAACGATGGAATATCTTTGAATTCTGCCTAAAATGTGTAAAAAATACTCTGAATTTTTTAAATGTATCAATAAAACTCTTTTGCAATGATTAAATAAACCAGGTGATTTTATTGTCACTGTACATTCAGTGCATTATTAGACTCATTAATTCATCCCCAAGAAAAAGCATATATTTACATATGGATACAGAAGGCATGAGCACAACAAACGAAACACATGAAAATATCACACAGGACTGTCCAGTCAACCCCAGCTGTGGGTTTTTCCCTTTCCAGGACAGCGTGCATAGTTAGCCTGCCCTCCTCCAAGCATAGGGGAAGTTTATCATTAAAATTAACCAAAGCTCATTCTAATTTGATTCATATATCACACATGTTAACCTATTGCTTCTTAAGGAAGTAAATCTCTTGGGTAATCACATGTCTGAGGTGCACGCACCTAGCAGGGTTCCTTATACACCGTGGACCAGAATGGCCAGGGAGGTTCCTCCATGTTTTATGTAAATCATGCCATCTCAGAGTGCATGGAGATAAAACCACAAATGGAGCAGCGAATAAGCAGCTCTTTCCTCCGAGGAATGTATTCCCCCAATTGCAGTACGTTCATCTACATTTTTTTAATACCCAGCCGGTGATGTCACTTTATTTCTGTGGCACAGATTCCCAGGAGGAACTCATGGCCCGCTTCCAAACCCAGTGTAATTTTCAAAATATGAACTGAGGTATAGGGTCTAGACAACTTCAGCCACTATATGTCCTAATGTGCTAATAACAAAAAAGTATGATGACACAGAGTGTTTCACCACAGAGAGGCACAAAGACACAGAAAAAGTGAGATCCCACCTTCCACCACATCTATACTGAACTTATTCAGACTTATCATGAGTCAATACACTTTTCTTTTTTCTTTTTTTTTTTTACAGTGGGCTCTAAATTTGAATTGAAGTTCCTAATCCCACATGAGAATACATTAAAGTTGCAAATGAAACAAGTGATCATAGTCACATCAATGCACAGCAGTTACAGTATAGTACAGGGAAATATGCAGAATGCGTTTGTTTTGCATGTCCACATTGCATACAAAGCAACAACAAAATATCAATGCAATGCTCCACCACACAACGAACACAGGTGGCTGAATTTGCCTTGCATAGCCCAGTGATCGCAGCTCTGTTATGAAACTATTACAGACACCAATGAAATCGCCTTTGTGAGGGTTTCAAGAAGAACCCTCCCCACCATCAACCGAAATAAAACGTCTCCCGTCCCTAAGGTAGAGCCAAAGCTGAAATTTAATTGCTCCATTTCTATTGAGAATTTCAGCTTAGGAGACTATCAGAATTAATTGGATGTAGTAGAACCATTTTAGAAGTCTGAAAATAAAGTGGCCATTTTTTTCTTTTATTATTCAATATTAATTTGAGAGAGTGTAAAGTTGGGTAACAGTTATCTACAAGTCTCAAGTGAATGGAGGGAGTCTATGAATGATCAGGTGAAGGTGTGTTTTTCTAGTTTTGGTCAGGCCAAACTGTGTTCTTTTACACTCTACTAAATGAAGGAATCTAAAATAAATGAAGACAACAGATTTACATTCTAATCACTGATGATATGCTGTAACATCCACTTTTATGTAGAACAGCAGGCCTGCTCAGATTGCAGTTGTGCCAGTTTTCTGCTTTGGTTTACTACTGAATAAATACTAATCCCCATTTCAACTAGGGATGGATTAGCTGGTTAACAACAGGGGAAGTGCTCTATGGGCACCATATTCTCTATGGCATTGGGTTATAATTATCTATGCATTACATTACAGTGAATCAATAGCAACTCTCTGGGGAACGTGATAGTTACTGGCCGCTTGGCTTTATGTTTTCTTCTTGTTTGGGCATAAGCTAATGGCACTTGACACTTTAAACACAGCTGTTTTAAAATGTTCACAAGAGACAGCATCTGTCTCACTAAAGTCCTTAGAGCAGCTGCTTAACTTATCATTACATCTTTTTGATCTTACGATAGCATGTCTAATGAAATCTGCTCAGGCTATTTGTACAGTAAGAAATATGACATGTTGTTAAATATCATATTATGATTACTGCTTTCTTTGAATTATTTGGCAACTGGTTTACCACTGATAGACATTACACTATAAAATTCTACTATAATTTCTGGATTATATCTATTTATTAGTGTCCGTGTTTGTACACAGAACTTTACTAGATGATTAGCACCTTCATTCAAATCAACTTCAACAAATGAAGAGGAAAAACATCACTGAACTACAATAATGTCATCATTTTTGCAGTTCAGAGTGAAATTACTTATAATTACTTGTCATTTTACAGAGAAATATTTGCAGTGGACTGTTGGTTTGAGAAGAGACAAAATACATTTCTGCCTTTTATCACTTTAATCAATATTTTGTAGTTTCACTATCTCAACAGATTCATAAAGGAGCTATAATTATATGAAAAACAGTCACAATACAGCATAAGATTACTTTTTTTTGGGGCATGAAAAATGTAACTTTTATCTGGCTAAGCCTTATCATGTTACCCTGTAGTCCAAATCTTCTAAGAAAAAGAAATCCAGAACAATAAAAAGTGATCAAAACCCACAGGTGTTATGCTGATGCACAGACGTTTGGAAAGGATGTATTACAATGATCAAAAACCAATTAATACACAGAGATTTTCAGTAAAAAATGTACAACATGTTTGAGAGAGATAACATTTTGTAATCAGGGAAGTATTGACCTCAAAGTTTGGTTTCTATTGGCTGTCATCTAATTATTTCTAAATTCAGATACTGACTGATTCACAAGACTTCCTGGCTTGGATGTCCAGGCTTGCATACTAAGTTTGGTAGAAACAAATGGTAAATTATGTTCACGAACTCCCTGTTTGGACAGTGATATGACCAAAGGGAATGAGAATGTCTAGGACTGGTTTAAAGATATTAAAACCGGCAAAGGCTAATTCAAAGGTTATTTCTTTGCCACCATGCAAAAACAAAAACTGCCATCCCGATATCAGCTGACCCAGAAACAATGGTCATTTAAACCAGTATAGTCAATACTACTGTTGAAAACCTTTAAAAAAAAACTTAGAAAAATAAAAACTTTGACAATATAATGCAACGATACCAGAGCATTGAATGGGTGACTATGTGACACGGACTGAAAAATACAATCATCACAAAAGTAATATTTATTGTTGGGCTATCAGCTTGCATTAAACAGTGTATTAGATTGCATTAAACTAAGAGAGGTTGCTGGTACTGTGTCTTTTCACAAAATATTTCTGACACACAGCTATACAGTTAAGCTTAGAAATCCTCAGCACAAAATATAGCTTATCATTCTCATGTCTACGTTTCACAGCATGTTTAGTTGCTAGTATGCATGTTCGATTAACACAGAGAGAAGACAGGACATGGTTCAGTCTCTATAAGCAAAAAAAACAAACAAAAAAAAGACGCTGACTGAGACTCAGACAAAGCTATTTTGAACGATACCCATTATTGCCACATTATTCATAGATGCTTAGTGCAAACACTTAGTGAGCAGTGATCACTAGCCAACCACTGTCCTTCTGCAAGCACCAAGTCGACTGAACCACCGAGTCGATGAAGCTACCATGAGGTAAATACATTATGAGGAAATGGGAAATCTGGCCTTACTTTTTCTGATGACAGATTAAGAATATGTCCAACAGTTTTCCCCCTGTGTCAAGTGCAATTTCACATAATTTACAGTAGACATATATATGTAGACCAGATTTAGACTATTGCTTTAACAACTGAGATTGAAAAATATGAGAAAAAGAAAACAGAAACACACCATGTGGCTATGTAGCTGTACAGTTCTTTTGGACATTTATATTAATACACTTTCATTTTTAAAAACAAAATAAAATAAGAAAGAAATTCACAGAAGCTTCAGGTGATATAGATAAATGGGTCTTTGGTTATAACAAGACCCCAATTACCTTATTTCTGTCTCTATATACATAATCATGATCCCACTTCAATTAGGTTGATAGTCATCCTTTTTAAAACTAGTCCGACTCACTCTTTTTCTTTTATTAGTGCTGTTTAAAAGCGTTAAAATGACCCTGGAGTCCAAACTTCAAACTTTTGACTCAATTGGCACTCCACCTTTATTTCTTATGGGCTGCCTCGGACCAGATGATGCAACTGTCTGTCAAGCATCTGACCCAGGTGTCAAGCCTTGGCCTCCAACATCTCCAGAAATAGTTTGTGCATGGGGACTTTGCCCTGCATTTTGATGCTGTAGAAGTGCTGAACGGCCTTGGTAGCCGTCTGACGGAGCAGAGGGAGGGTCATTAGCAGCTTGCCTGCCCGTCGGGGGTCCTCTGGGTGCTGAGAGCCCTCAAAATCCTGCAGGGCCTCATGTAGGGAATCCTGGAGCCTTTGGACAGCCTCGATGTTCTCTATGTGCATGGAGTCTGGGGCAAGAGGAAGATTGGGAAAGAGAGAAGGAAGGAAAACATAGATGTTACACCTCTGGGAAGAAAGGGGAATCGAAAACGTAAAAATTGACCGATGATTGCAAGATATTTTGGCTTGCACCTTGTCTCTTCTTTTTCATAAGTTGGAGATGCCTTATTTGATCAATTTGCATAATGGCACAACGACCTGCAGGTGCAGTAACAACCCTATGTGCAACGTGCAGCTGCATTCTGAAGTTTTACATTCCACAGCTTGAATTTGCGAGTAAGTCATTTTAAAGAGAGCTTTTCTCTTTTTAGTGGTTAATGACGCTCCCTAAATAAATGTCTGTTCGTGGCTGAGGCCCTAGGGAGAGATACAGGTATTGCTGGTCTGAATAAATGTACACTGGGACAGAAAAAAAGATTAATTTCTTTTTGGTATCATGGACCACATACATCCCCCCCTCCGCTAATGAATTCAGATGGCTGCATTACTAGGATATTGTTCAGCTGAATGATGGTGGCAGATGGCCTTCATTTCCATAAGAAAGAGCAGTTGGCCCCCTTATGTATAGGCTCTAAAATAAAACCAGTTGAGACTTATTAAAAACTGCTCTCTATGTACAAGTCTACATGCTAGTGGAAAACAGGCTTGTCCTCAAAAGGACAAGCTCACGCATAGTTTTAATGGATGAGCATTGGTTTAGCGCCTATCTTACAGCACAGATTTACAATGTCAAGTCTAATCTGTGTATACATCGTATCTACAGCTCATCAACTCATTGTTAAAATTCTGTGCAACACAGTGCATCTTTATATGGTATTGCAATTTAATCAAATCAAGTCTTAAACCTAATTATGTTAAAAGTGAAACCAAACACGGCTACTCAATAAAGAATAAGTGAGTTGGAACAGCTCTGCTATGTGTCATGAAAGTTGTGGAGGGAAGTTAAGACGGTGTATGAACATGTAAATGAGGCAGAAAAAAGGAAAGTACAAGGCTAATTATGTTCCTAACTGACTGATTAAGTCTCTTTTACCAGTCGCCTTCTGTGTAAATTGCATTTCTATCTTGGGAAATTAACTAGGCTATGTGGACCGCACATGTGTTCCAGCACTCTTCATTTGAAACCTTCATGTTAATACTGATCTGATCCTCGTTTGGCTGTGCGATCATCTGTGTGTGTATGTGTGTGTGTGAGAAAAAGAAGATGAGAGGGAGGGGAAAATAAAGAAAATGTTTTCAAGTGTACGTCGGTGTGTGTGAATGCACAGAGAAGTCAGGTGTGCTGTCGTGTAGGGGAAGTTGGGGGCCGAATGCAAAACTAACTTTGAAGAAACAATTTCCATGTAATCCGTCAGCAGCTTGGCATCAATCCCGTCGATACTCTGCTAATTACAAAATCAATGGCCATGAATTTCCACAGCTGTCACATCCATAGGACTGCTGGAGCCCAAGCTCTGCGAGACTTTGTTCAAACGAGCCGAAGTTGCCCTCTGGCCCTCCCTGAGCCGCCCTCACAACCCCCGTGCTTTCCTCTCTCACACTTCTCTTTTACCTTTCCATCCCCGCCTTTCCATCACCTTCCCTCCCCTCTTTCGCACCCTCTCCACCGCTCCCACAGAGTGTTTGTCATCAGAAGACTAAAGCTCTGGGCTCAGCATTTTTCATTTTTCAGTCAGGCAGGAGAAAAGACTCCTAACAGGCATTGATTAGTGGGGGACAGGCCCAGCCTCATGAAAAGCAAACTGTCAATACGGGCGCAGCATCTTCACATTGGAACAAACGACGCCCGTCGCTCCCCAACGCACATTCCACTCCACTTAACACATTTTATTGACAGCCCCTGTTTTTCTAATGAAATGCTAAATATATCTCCCTCGGCTGAAGTGTGCTGGCAGCCACTGTTATGGAGATGGAGAGAATGAGAGCGCAATGTGACAGTCACACACACACACACACACACACACACGCTTGTGTATCTGCACGCAAATTAAAGTACAGCTGCACACAGGCTCACACATCAGTGTTGAATAAAAAAAAACGAAAGAAAAAAAGAACATACTCCTGACCTCTACATCTGCTCTTATCAGGAAATTGTCATTGTGGAAGTCATGGTTCAACAAGATATACATCAACACTTTATTTCTCTTTGTCTAATTTCTTTCTTTAATTAAATGCCAACTATCTTGATTTATTTGAGATTTGACATAGAAATGTACGTTCCTATCAAGCTCATGCAGCTGCGGAGAAAAATAAAAGACATTCAGGCTTAAGTATACATGAAACAAGTAAAACAGCTCTGTGGAATGCAGTATATTTACAGTTACTGTTGTACAGCAGAAAGAGGTTTTGTGAATCCTAAAGCTCATCAACAGAAATCAGCTTTTGAAAGGACCCAAAGTCCTTTGAAAACACAGCCTTTAAGTGACGTATTGCCCCTAAAGTGACTATAGTAAATTACCATGAACACAGTGAGAAAAAGATTCTTAGTAACATAGCAGAAAACATCCCAAAACATTTAAAAAATTTTTGGGAAAATCTAAAAATCACAACAAAGGAGACAGAAACAGAAAAACAGAACAAAATTTCCAAAAGCTTAGAAAAAGCTTATCGTGTGTTCATCTGTGTGTGATTATGTTGCATTAAGCATACATATAAATGATGAAGCAGCGTTTCAGTGTTTCTGTGAGGTACTTTTTATAGAATCTGGATTAGGTCAAAAAGCTGTGACAAAAGTGTGCTAGTAAAAATTAAACTTAAGGACACTTTCCCAAAATCTGTTAATATTAAAATTGCTAAAATTAGGTGTTCCATATCTGGGACTAGCACGTAACACATGATTAATTTTTCCTGTTTAATGTTGGGATTGAAAGGACTAATCCTACCAGAGTTGGCAAGTGCGATGGCTTTGAGCGTGACAAATTCCTCCTTCTCGATGCGCAGCTTCTTGTAGCGCCGGACCAGCGGCAGAATGGCAACGTGTAGGTCCAGCAGGCCTGAGATCCTTGCCTGCTCCTCGTCCACCACATAGTCCTCCGCATACACGATCTCATCCTCACAAGGCAGCGAGCGAAACACAATGCTCAGCACCAGGATCTCCATCCAGGCACTCTGCAGTAAACTCATCTGGTCTGCCAGCGAGAGTGAGGAAAAACCTGTAGAAATCAAAGGGAGTTTGTTACATTGTGATATCACATTTCTAGTCATTGCTGGGCACTGACGGGGTCCATTCATGTGACATTGAAACTGAAGAACAAATTAACTGAGAAACTGGCCAACTTCAGTCCTCCGTATGCTTTATGGACTATGTACAAGCTCCAAACAATCCCCAGGGAAGTCTAACTTGAAACAGAGGTCTGCCGCTGTATGCGGTGGCTTAAAGGAGGAATATCAATCTGCCAAGTGTAGAGGCCTTTGAAACACGAACCGGGCCGGTTCAACCATCAACTGTCAGTCCTACTGCAACCCAGTGTGCAAGCACATGAGACCCTCCTCAGTCTGGACAAACCTAACCCCTGTCGCCTCTTAAAAAGAATGGAATAAAGTAGTTTTTGCTGCTAAAGTCTTGGGTCAGAACTAAATAAGCCTAAATGAAATTTCTAAACTTGGTCTATGGTATTATATATGTATCCAACAACAAGAGAATGTCAGCAAGTGATATGCTCTTGCGAATGGGAGCAAGATATAATTAAAAACCTACACCGCTGACATGACTGAGTTGTATTTATAGTCCCCTGAGGATAGCAACTAATACTACAAAAACCTGAAGTGGCCTGATGATAGATGATGATTTGGTTAAAAACTCACATCTAATCCATAAAGTGCATACAAAGAAAAAAGTAACAAATCTCCCAAAGTGCATTGCAGATAGGTTTTGTGCATATCGGATTAAACCAATGAGTGTCTTTTTTAGATTTAATTCAAACGTCTTAAAACATACAGTTATGTGGGCCTGATTTTTTAAATGTATGATATAATGATAAACAATTTATATGTGAAAGAGTTATAGACAAACAAAACCATTCCAGCTGACTTTCCCCTTCCACCTCAGTGCCTCCTATTCGGAACTCAGAGTGGCAATTTATCCAGATCTCGAGGACGACCCATCAACCGTCTCCTCTAACATTCACACACCACATCAAACAGATGGACACCTGAAAAGACTCCAACCACCACAATACTTTTCACTACTCCATGCTGAATAGGAAGGTGATTGTGGGGTATTGACCAGGGCCTTGAACCTACCACGCTGTTTACTTAAATCTGAACTTGTATGGATCGGAATTGGGCAGCTTGACTTAAAAGGGCCCTCCCAATGTTTCTTATCAAGCAAATAGAGAAACGATGGAAAGAGAGAGAATGAGCCGGAGAGAAAAGAGTGCTGGGGGTGTCATTGATTAGTAGATTGTAATCAGTCCACCAAATGCGAAAGGGGGAATCGATCCAAGCCTCAGATTTGACAAACAGACAGCTGATGGAGGACATCCGGTACATGTTCAGAGGGGGGAAGGGTGTACGACAGGATCACTGAATGTAGATATCCAGGCTGTATCAGCAACGCATGAATTTAAATTCCCAAGAGACTCTTTTAAAAATAATTGATGACTTTAATCCTGTGAGATGTATTTAGCACAAAGAGGAAGGACATAATGACTACATGAGCAAACAATCTGCATGAAAATCACATATTTGTGAAGAAGTAATGGCACAGACCAAAAACAAAGCTTTGTAACATTTAATGTATCAAGCCCTAATCATGGATCAACGAAAAAGTTTGGAATCAACACCTGTCACGTTGCTACTGTAGCTGAGTAATTTATTAAAGAACTAACCCCTACCTAACCTTCTCTTCATTTCCTCCATCAGTCTTCCCCTTTCCCTGGCCCTTGTTTTTTCACCCTCTCTTTTCCACTCAATTTATAAAAGCGATGAAGTGACTTCCTGACTCCCCTAGGTCACCCTGGAGCTTCAGGTACAGCTCCCTGTGGTGGCTGAGTTAAGTGTCTTGTGAAAGGTGATTCTCCCTGATGAAATATCAATATTTCAGCATACTGATTTACTGCCGTTTGACCAAACATGACACAATATTGAGCAAACCGGCGAGAGTCAATGTCCCTTGTTTCTGTGCTCTCCCTGTGTGATGACTACAAGCATGTACAGAGACAAGGGGTGCCTTACATTTCCACTGGTTAAAATGGCACAAAGGGAATGTAGATCATTTTATTGATATGATTTTATTTGACATATCAGATCCTTAAAATGCACAATTAAAAAACAAAAACAAAACTTAAACTCCTGAAAAAGTGGCAAATCAACTCCCCAGCAAAGTTGTCCACAACTTCCCAGTGTCAGTAAATTAAAAAAGTCTACCTGTGCGCATCAGTGAAAGAACAGTGAGTAGAAAACTGACAAGATGGTTGCTATCTTTTTTTGACAATAACGTAACTCTGAAATCCCATGATATTGTTTATATGATCGACTCATTTAAAAGTTAAACCAAACTGTATGAATTCCTTTCTTCTAAATTGTTCTTTCTCCAGAAATACTAAAGTCAGTTTTGATGCATAAACTGTAGAATGTGTAGCTGTCAGCACGCAATGCAAATAAGATTCAACATAAGGGAGACTCTAAATTTTACAAGAAACACCCCATCATGTTACAAGCCATATGCACACCGTTAACAATATGTTCATTTTACTGTCTATTGCTAGAAATTCCAATAAAAATCCTCAACATGCGAAAGGCGATTGTTTGCGGAAGACGGAAAGAGCTCTGGTGATGCAACAGTACAGTACAAGTACAGATCAGATAGCAAATTGAATCCCTATTCAGCACAGTGAAGAGACCTGAGTGGTTGGCAGTGAAGCCTGACGCCGTCATTGAGCTGGGTCTAAA